CCACAGAGCACTGAGTAGAGTTCCCTGTGCCATAGAATAGGTTCCTATTAGTCATCCACCTTATATATAGTAGTGTGCATATGTCAGTCCCAATCTCCCAATTCACTCCCCCTTGCCCTTTTCCCCCCTGGCAACCATGAGTTGGCCCCCTACGTCTGTGACTCTCTCTCTTGTCCTGCAAACAAGTTCACCTGTACCATTTTCTTAGATTCCACATACAAGCAATATCATATGATATTTGTCTTTCTCTGTCTGATTTATTTCACTCAGCATGACAATCTCCAACAACAAATGCTTTAAAACAAAATGTACACGCCCTACTTTTTCTTCAAAAGTTTATACATATTAAAAAAGAATATATTTTTGGCTTTTCCATATACAACCTATAAATGAATGATTACCCATTAAGATCTGGTCCATATGAGGGAATTCCCTGGCGGTCCAGTGGTTAGGGCTCCTAGCTTCCACTGCAGGGGGCCTGGGTTCGATCCCTGGTCGGGGAATTAAGATACCGCAAGCCACGCAGCGCGGCCAAAAAAAAAAAACAACAACAAAATTTGCTTCATATGAGAAGGAACCAAGATGGCAACATAGAAGGGTCCTGAACTCCCTCATCCCTCATTCGGATACACCGAATGTTCTCAGCTTCATCCTTGGCACAGTACTGTACAGTTGAGAGGGAAATGCCAACCCCAACTCCCAACCTCTCACTGAGGGGCACAGGGTTTGGGCCACAACATAGCACCCCAACATTTAAGAGTCCCAGTCAAGGAACGAACGGGCCTCCTAAAGACCTAGCTCTGAAAGCCAAGGCGGTTTAGGTCCATGAGACCCACAGGACTGTAGCAAACAAAGTAGCAGTTCTTAATGGCAACCAAACACTTGCTGCTATGGCCACCCCCCAGGGCTCAGTGCAGAAGTAGCAGAGAACAATACCCATCTCCCAGCCTTTCCCTTAGGGTGTGACTACACACTTTACAAGCTGCTGCTTGAGCACTAGGCTTCTAATTTAGCACACATTTAGGGACTGGCTGTGATACAGGGCCACCGGAGTCTATGAACACTTTCCCT